GATTCTATTTGTTGTAAATTGAGGTTTTTTGCGGCTTTAGTTGTTGAAAATCCGAATTCTTTATATTTTTAGTATCCAATCGTCCGTCCCTCTCTTTTTGTCGCGCTTCTTTTCAGCCAAAGAGGTACATACTCCAATTGAATGTGAACTGAGAAGTTTAACTGAGAAGAAATATCAACTGAATATAAAAATAACAATATATTTAGAACCGAGAAGCGTAAAATAAAGGGAAGAAATGAAGAATCGACTTTATCGTGAACGTATTAATGGATTTATATACCTAGCCAAACTCTGTTAAAAGAGAATGGAAAAAACCGCTGGGCTCGAAGAAATAGAAATAACCCTGCCAAACTGTGGCAGGCTAAGAAAGAAGTCGTTCCCTGGTTCACGGAGAACGGTTCGAAAAGGGAAAAGGCCATACTGACAAGACTACGCATAGGTCATACAAGAATAACGGTCGAGCACCTCTTCAATTGTAGAAGGCTTGATGTATATAGACAATATTTTGGCATATCATCGGACCTGTGCATGGTCTTGGGGCGCGGCAGCGGGCATAGATCGCTGTTCAGGTACCTCAGGGCTATAGAGATTTTTAAATGTATATAGTTTTATGTGTTTATGTTGTGTCTGTGTTTGACTTTATGTTAATTTATTGTAATGAATGTAATTTATTACCGTGAAAGGAAGGGGTTGCTTATAACCCCGCTCCGAGGAATATCAAGTACTCTGGGGTGAGTGTATGACATCTGGAGAGTAAAAGTAATTTATTAGCGTGAAAGGAAAGGGTTGCTTATAACCCCGCGCCGAGGAATATCGAGTACTCTGGGGGAGTGNTCAATTTAAACGTGCAAAACGCGAAAATTATAACATAAATAAATATTATAATAGTAAATAATATTATTAAATTACTATAAAAATAATAACAATTAAAATAATTAGTTTAATTATTTAGATGTTTGATATCATTTATGTTCATATTTAAAATGGGAGGTAGATCAAAATCTGTTATATTATTAATGCATTATCACCATGTTCAATTTTACATTTTTTAATTTAAAATTTCTCAATCACCATGTTCAATTTTACATTGTTTAATTTAAAATTTCTCAAACCAATCTAGTTCTTTCCCTTTGTTGAAACTATGTAACACTCTTGTATTTAGATTTGAATTGAAATTATGTTTTGTTTCTTTTAGATGGTCCTTAAATACAGAAAATTGGCTCGATTTAGGCAAGTGTTCTTTTATTCTTGTTTTTATTTCTCTACCGCTTATTATATTTAATATCACAATCGTTACAATTAAGTTGGTAAACCCCGTTTTTGCAAAGGTGTCTGCTTTGTCTTTTGGTTTTGAGAAGATGTTTTTAAGTGAGTCAGTGAGTTTTAAGTAATTTCGAGCCCTTAGCTGATCATCAGGAGATCTACAAGCCCGCATAATCATCCTCTCAAAACCTAAAGACAAGCTAGACAACTAGGCAAACAGCGGGGTTTACCAACTTAACTGAAATGATTGCGATATTAAATACATAGGACAAAGCGGTAAAGAAATAAAAACGAGAGTAAAAAAAACATTTGCCTAAAGCGAACAAATTTTCGGAATTTAAGGACCATCTAAAAGAAACAAACATAATTTCAATTCAAATTTAAATACAACAATGTTACATAATTTCAACAAAGGGAGAGAACTAAATTGGTTTGAGAAATTTGAAATTGAAAAATTTAAAATTGAACATGGAGCTAAATTCATTAATAATATAACAGATATTGATCTACCTCCCAGTTATTATTTTTATCGTAATTTAATAATCTATTATTAAGGTATTATTCTAATTTTTTATCTTTTATTTTTAATCCCTAATTTATAATTAATTTCTTACAGTATTTACTGTTATTATATTCATTTGTGTTATAATTCCCGCTTTTCGCACGTTCAAATTGAGCGCAATTAAAAAACCAGCTGCTAATTGGAACGTCGCGTTGGAGGAGGTATCAGCGGTTTCACTTTTGCAATTCATGCCGAGAGACGTGGTTATAGAAGTCCTTCAACCTGATGATGAGCTGAAAGGCTCGAAATCCGTATCGTTGGTAAACAACTTACTGTGAGTAGGAACTATCTTTTTTAAAAAGTATTGAACACGTTTTTTTGACAGCGTCATTGATTCAACGGAAATTCAGCCGGGCAAAAAGGACACCCTATATACTCCTAAATACAAACCTTCCTATTTTCAAAATTCTTTTTTTTTTAAATGATAATAAACTCCCATAGGGTCAAAATTTCAATATCTTATTCTTTTCAAACATCTACTGTTTATGTCAGCTGTAAAAAGAATCACTGCTCTTTTCTTTTCTAAGGATTGTCTGAATCATTTTTTTGTATTTTAAATTTACATTTGTTACTCTGTTCACTAATATAAGAGATTATTAAATAATGATTATGAGGATCAGGGTGAGCTCATGAACGGGAATTGATGTTATGATGATGTTATGTAACGACCATTTGTTATATGCCAAGCTGTTGTTGATATATTCCATCATTAGGGCTCAACAGGTGACTATTAAGAATACTTACTGCATGTATTACGTCATATTTATAACTCCGTACAATAAACATTATCAATAAACATCTTCGACCCAAAGACGCAATACTTGTTTTGCTGATAAATAAAGTGAAAAACCCGTTGAAATATTGTTTGTTTTGGTATTCGACTTGACAAACCTGTTTTGCTGACCACATTTTGTTTTTCTTGGTACTTCAGAAAAGAGTGTTTGGGAGATGTTTGTCTAGAAAGCCGTACCGAAAACCCATTTTTATTGGGGCTTATCCTCATTCGGGTAGTGGTTACGTTTCCGGCTCGAGGATGCATCGCTTCCTACCCTCCTTATACGACAATACTTCCAAGCACATTACATCTCCAATGTCCCATGGAGGGAGGGAAAAAAACAATAATAGTTTATGAATAATTTATGACTCTTTTGTTGAGAACTGTGAGCTCGACTTGGTGAATTCGTTTTTTTGGCAAGACGGCGCCGTAGAACAGCATTGATCCACAAAAGAAAACACAATCAAAGGCAGTTGGACTTATTTGGGAAAAAACAACACGCTTTGACCATCTCTGGGTTTTTTAGGTGTTTTAAAAAAAGGTGTATATTTTTACATGAGTAACTGATTGTTTCAACTGTCTGTTGTGTTTGTAATTTTGATATTTTTATCGTCTAAATTCGAAAATAGTATATAACATAAAACTATTTTATACAAATCATGAGAAGGACACAGTGTAAAAAGTTTCAATTTTGTGCCTTAATTCTGACACTAAAAAAACAAAAAACAAATTGACTAAAACCAGTGCTTAAAATGTTTCTATATCCCACCATTTTAATAAATTTGATGTCTCAGCAAAGATTATATATAGCAAAGATATTCATATTTAATCTGCTTAAAAGAAAATTACTGATTAAATTTTTGCCAAGTCCAAAAAATGGACGATATATGTGATCAGATGGCATGATGAAACAATTTTTTAACTACGAAAAAAAAATGAAAATGCTGGGGCCAAATGGTAAAAACTTCAAACTAGACTATTGTAAATTGTTTGCATTTTGTGAACTCCATAATTAAAATAATCTGTCCAGGAGAGTTGGACTTCGAAATTTAATAGCTTTAACTTTAAATAAACAATTTAATGAAAATATGAAGCCCCATTTTTTTACACGTACCGACGAATTACTAAATTACCTCTTCCAAACTTTGTGTTTTCATGACGTTTTTAGACTTTGCAGAAACTAATTTTAATAAGCTACCCACACTCACACCCCAAGTTTTTTTTACAAGATTTTTCTTCTGAAACCTTAAGAACTACTGCGTTTGTTTTAATAAGTTTCGGCTAATATCAAAACTACATTGGAGTCAGAAAGCTGAAGGTCGAGTCGTAGCCCCGCACGTCACGTTGGCGGGGGTATCGGCGGGTTCACTTTTGCAATTCATGTGGTGAGACGTGGTTGTAGAAATCCTTCAACCTGATGATGAGCTAAGGGCTCGAAATCCGGATCGTTGGTAAACATCTTACTGTAAGTATCTATCTTTTTAAAAAACAGGATTGACCCAATTTGTGCCCGTGTGCCGGTTTATCATGAGTTCAACTCGCAGACCAATAACCATAATTATATTATTGTTAACATTACCCACCATGAACATTGACAAAAATTGTAATTAAAATCAATGTACAAAATAATTAATATTACAAAAAAATTAGATTAATTATTGTTTTGTTTGTAAACATCTGTAATAAAATATGTTAAAGGTAAAAAAACTCCTCGGCTGTAGGGTTACTACAGTTGTGAGAGAAAAAAACTTTAAGAAAACCCATTATGAAGATGACAGTTGGAAAGTACTTTTCAAGGTTCCTTGACATCCTCAGTCATTTTAGTGTTTTTTTTAATCGTTTCTCCTATCTATGTAGTAAGGAATTCGATTAACATATTGAATGTAATTCATTTAACAATAATTATATTATTGTTAACATTATCCATTTTGAACATGGAAAAAAATTGTAATTAAAAATCAACGTATAAAAAATGAATATTTTATTAGGTATTTATATGTTCAATTTTAAATTAAGATTAATTAATGGTTTGTTTGTAAAGACCTTTCATCAAACAGAGAACAGGTAAAAAAATTCCTTAACTGTAGGGTTATTACAGTTGAGAGGAAAAAAAAATTCAAGAAAACCAAATATGAAGAAGATAGCTGGTAAGTATTTTCAAGGTCCGTTGACCTCATCCTCAGCTAGTTTGGCTGTTTTTTAATATTTTTCTCCTATCTATCTATTAATGAATTTTACTCATTTGAAAATAATTATATTCTTATTAACATTATCCACCTTGAACATGGAAAAAATTTTTAATTAAAAATCAACGTATAAAATAATGAATATTTTATTAGGTATTGATATGTTCTATTTTAAATTAAGATTAATTAATGTTTGTTTGTAAAATATGTTACAGGTAAAATACTCCTTGCCTGTAGAGTTACTACAGTAGAGAGTAAAATCTTCAAGAAAACCCATCATGGAGAAGATAGTTGGTAAGTAGTACTTTTCAAGATTCGTTGACCTCATCCTCAGCCAATTGGCAGTTTTGTAATCTTTTCTCTTATCTATGTCGTAACGAATTTAAATAATAATTTCAATTTTAAAGTAAAATTTATGTATTTTTCACTATTGAATTAATGGTTTGTTTGTAAAAACCTGTCATCACACAGAGTACAGGTAAGGTTAGTACAGTTGAGAGGACAAAAAACCCTTCAAGAAAACGCATTATGAAAAAGATAGTTAATGCTTTGTTTGCAAACATCTCTAATAAAAAATGTTACAGGTAAAAAAACTCTTTGGCTGTACGGTTACAACAGTAGAGAGAAAAAAAACCCATTATGAAGAAGATAGTTGGTAAGTTCTTTTCAAGGTTCGTCGACCTCATCCTCAGCCAATTTTGCAGTTTTTTAATCTTTTCTCCTATCTATGTAGTAACGAATTTGAATAATATATTGAATTTAATTCATTTAATAATAATCGTATTATTGTTAACATTAGCCACCTTAATCATGAAAAAATATAATTAAAATCAATGTATAAAATAAATAATATATTAGATATCAATGATATGTTCTTTTTTAAATTAAGATTAATTAAAGTTTTGATTTTAAAGGTCTCAAATAAAAAATGTTACAAGAAAAAAAACTCCTTGGCTATAGGGTTACTACAGCAGAGAGAAAAAACTTCAAGAAAATCCATTATGAAGAAGATAGTCGGTGAGTGTATTTCAAGCTTCGTTGACCTCATCCTCAGCCAATTTGGCAGTTTTTTAATCTTTTCTCGTATGTCTGTAGTAACGAATTTAAATAATAATTTCAATTTTAAAGTAAAATTTATGTATTTTTCACTATTGAATTAATGGTTTGTTTGTAAAAACCTGTCATCATACAGAGTACAGGTAAAAGAAATTCCTTAACTGCGGGAATACTACAGTTGAGAGGAAAAAACCCTTCAAGAAAACGCATTATGAAGAAGATAGTTAATGCTTTGTTTGTAAACATCTCTAATAAAAATGTTACAGGTAAAAAAATTCCTTTGTCTGTAGGGTAGAGAGAAAAAAAACCATTATGATGAAGATGGTAAGTACGTTTCAAGGTTCGTTGACCTCATCCTCAGCCAATTTGGCTGTTTTTTAATCTTTCCTCCTTTAGTAAGTAATTCGATTAATATATTGAATGTAATTCATTTAATAATAATTATATTATTGTTAACATTAGCCGCCTTAAACACGAAAAAATGTAATTAAAATCAATGTATAAAATAAATAATATATTAGATATCAATGATATGTTCTTTTTTAAATTAAGATTAATTAAAGTTTTGTTTGTAAACGTCTCAAATAAAAAATGTTACAGGTAAAAAAACTCCTTGGCTATAGGGTTACTACAGTAGAGAGAAAAAACTTCAAGAAAATCCATTATGAAGAAGAGAATTGGGGAGTACTTTTCAAGGTTCGTTGACCTCATCCTCAGGCAATTTGGCAGTTTTTTAATCTTTTCTCGTATCTCTGTAGTAACGAATTTAAATAATAATTTCAATTTTAAAGTAAAATTTATGTATTTTTCACTATTGAATTAATGGTTTGTTTGTAAAAACCTGTCATCATACAGAGTACAGGTAAAAGAAATTCCTTAACTGCGGGAATACTACAGTTGAGAGGAAAAAAACCCTTCAAGAAAACGCATTATGAAGAAGGTAGTTAACACTTTGTTTGTAAACATCTCTAATAAAAATGTTACAGGTAAAAAAATTCCTTTGTCTGTAGGGTAGAGAGAAAAAAAACCATTATGATGAAGATAGTTGGTAAGTATTTTTCAAGGTTCGTTGACCTCATCCTCAGCCAATTTTGCTGTTTTTTTATCTTTCTCCTATCTATGTGGTAACGAATTTGAATAATATCTTGAATTTAATTCATTTAATAATTATTATATTATTGTTAAAATAACTCCTTGGCTCTACGGTTACTACAGTAGAGAGAAAAAACTTCAAGAAAATCCATTATGAAGAAGATAGTTGGTGAGTACCTTTCAAGCACCGTTGACCTCATCTCAACCATTTGGCAGTTTTTTAATCGTTTGTCCTATGGATGTATTGACAAATTAGACTAATAATTTCAAATTTAAAGTAAAATTTATTCATTTCCATTATTGAATAAAACTTTTGATTACATTATGGGACGTTTATAAGAAATCAGTATAAAAATTAAAATAGGAAGGTGTCAAGGTTCTGCCAATTTTTATTTTTTCATAAATTCGTCTTTCCAGTAGTCGTGCAACAATTTACATGACAAAATATTAAATAAAAAAATTATATTAACAATTACTAATTGTTATTAAAGATAAGATTATCATAACGTGAAATTCAGATTCCTTCGATAATGATTACAGAGAAAAAGTAAAACCTGCATTTCAGTGAATAATGTAATGTACATTACCCATTCTAAACGAACGTGTCGTAATTTGTAAACCAGCCACCAGTACAGCAAGAGTCATTATTTGCCTTTAAACAGGTATCAGAGGGGAACGGAGTCAGTTAATCGCATCAGGACGTACCATACATATATAAATCCTGTGGGCTGTTATCGGATAATATCATTTTCACGTGATCCGGCCCAATAAATCTCGCGACTTTTTCATTTCACAAATCGCGATCCCGTCCGTCGTCGACATATCGTGCGGTTAAAATCCAGGTCATGTATTTTTTCTAGTCGATTGTCACATGTCCGTAGCAATACGGCCCGACCTCGTCATTTGTCCGTAACGGGCGCATTTGTATTTCAAAAGGAGCTGCGTGTCCAAAGGATTTTGTCCGGGTTTTAAACGGAACGATATGATATCGAGGACAGTCGTTGTGGTAATAATGCAACATTTTAAGATACACTTGGAAAAATAAGTAGTTTAATAAAAACTCAGATCCCCATTTAGTCGCTCATTTTTTAAAATATATACAGATCAGTTCTACAGTTGAATAAGTTTTTCTGTTAATTAGCATCGTTAATAATAATTTCTGAAACAATTTGAAAGACTGAAGATGGCAAAATGCTGAAACGCGCTTGACAGAATATAGCGTGCATAGGCAGACCAAAATGATTAGAGGTCAAAGAAGCCTAGGTTCTTCTGTATATAGTATACACTGCGGTTATCCATCCAATTTCTAACCCTTTGCTAAATTCGCAGATGACACACTTATCTGTTTCATCAAAGCCCAAACATAGCCTCCACCATCCAAGACCATTTTTACCATATCCAATAATAGGGGCCAAAAGATGAAAAAAAAAATTGAATTAAAATAAAGGGGCCGTCGGTGGCCGCAACGGTTTAGGCGTTGACACGGCGCTCATCAATGTTAAGGTAAAGGTCCCGAGTTCGAACCCAGCGGCTGTGCATTCGAACCAAATATACGTACAAATGGGCTTTTTTCAAAAACACCGGCACCCCGAGGGTTGATGTAAATTTTGCTGTTGGGAACCCTCGTAAAAAGAAAAAAATAATAAAGAATCCACATAACCTTTACTCTTCGCCGTGTGACATCGTACACTCCAATAGCCTACCAATCCCGACTGCAGACATAGAGAAATATTTAAGCATGTTTCCGATAAGAAAACTGGCATGGAACCTCCACGCGAAACGGAAAATACAGCAAAACAGATTGTTATAAGTGTACTAGAGGAACGATCTACATGGAGCTAGAATAGAACTGCGGGATTAACCAAACTCTCTAACTACCAATTGGTCTCAGGTCATTGTGGATTGGTTGGTTTGAAACGAGGAACAAAATTTTACAATTTTTTGTAGTGTTTTTGATTGGATGTATTGGATTTTAAATGAATTGGATATTTACATATTGGTCTCAGTAGACTGTTGTGTATGGTGAGTTTATGAGATGTAAGTTAGCTCTATGGTCAAGTAACTGAGGAACTTTTGGTTGTTGGTTAGTTTCCTGCTTTTTCAATTGCAGAACAAATAGTTTTTCAAATCTGGTAAAGATTTAAATGTGGTTTAATGTTATGGTACGATAGCTGTATCATCCGCAAAAAGCTTATATTATTGTTTGGGAGTATAACGATATGTTTATTGTAAATAGGAATGGTTCTAGAAGGTACCCTTGGGGCCAAACCGTTTTAGTGAGAATATAAGAAGAAATCAATAAAGGATGATTTTTCCGATCCGGGTTTTGGCAGATTCAGGGGTACCTCAAGGTCTCTTTTCAAGCCCCGTACTATTTATAATATCCTTTAATGATGTGATGCTCTGGCTGACGATCTCAAGATTTATAAAATTATTTCTAACTCGGTGATTTTACGATATTTAAAAATAATTTCTCGGTATTTTCTGATACTCTGGTAATCATGTTAAGTTAAACTCAGACAATTCTGTGATAATTCGCATTGGTTGCAAAAATGTGACCAAATTACATACACTTATTTTCTTATCTATTTTTTCATGGAATTAGTTTAGTTTCGACTGTATCAATTATGGGATAATGGCCGTGGAACTATTAAATAAATGATACATAGTCCCCTGAGTATACTACAGAACCAGTATTTCAAATAAGATTAAATCATTAATAATTAAGTTTTGCCTTGAGATTCCATAGCAAACTCCTTGAACCACAAGGAGAAAAACACCTGAGCATTACTATTTCTGCTAAAAAGAACAGTTTTCTTTATTGAAATGTCTTTTTGCTTACTTTCTAGTAGCGCTACAGCTCTAATTGCGCATCATTAAAAATATAAAAATATTCTTTACTGTTCTCCACTTTTCTTGTCTATCCTCTTATTTCCATATTAGTAAGGTCCTTCTTTATGACATACTCCAACCTAACCCTCGTCCTTCTTTTCACCCTTGTGTCTGGCATCCCTTGAAAATGGATTATTTGCAGTTTTTATGAACTTAATTTTTATGAGTTCTTGGAATTATTTCATTGTCCAGGCCGAATATCTCTTTGAAGCTTTTCGTTTCCTATACACCTAAAATAGGGGTAAAAATTAGCTTACAGACGAATACTTTTGCTGCCTGTGATAGTTCCATCAATCTACTTAGGAAAAGCTTTCCAAGGATTTTGCCTAAGGAAGGAAGGAAACTGAAAGAAGCTAATTGGTTGTTGTTGGTAGTTGGTAGTTCGGTTTTGTGTTTTTTTTTGCTTTGTATCTACATCCAGCCACGTGTTTAGGAAGGTGATTTTTTGAAGATTTGTTTCATTTGTGAAGCATGAAGAGGTTAGAGTTTTAAGTGAGGTTACAATAACAAATATGATTGCATGTCCAGCTTTACAATATTTAGTTAAAATAATAAGCAAATGTATGCGAATTAAAAAACCAAGCAAATCGATTTCGGTCTACTTTGTATTTTTTATTATAAAAAAATATTCCATTTTTAAAGTAATAGCTATTGGTTTTCCCTTCTTTTCCACAAAACACAAGCAGATTTTTAATACTTTTGCTGCCTGAGATAGTTCATCAATCTGTTTAGAAAAAGTTTTCCAAGGATTTTGCCTAAGGAAGGAAATTGAAAGAAGCTAAATGGTTGTTGTTGGTAGTTGGTAGTTCGTGTTTAGTGTTTTTTTTGCTTTGTATCTTCTCCAGCCATGTTTTTAGGAAGGTAATTTTTTTGAAGATTTGTTTCATTTGTGAAGTATGAAGAGGTTAGAGTGTTAAGTAAGGTTACAATAACAAATATGTTTGCATTTCAAGCTTTACAATATCTAGTTAAATAATAA